TATTATATTTATATAATATATTATAAATATTATATAATATATATAAATACACTGCCATACCGAAGTAATTTTAAGAGTTAAGAAACGAAATGAAAAAAAACTCCTATTTAGCTCAATTCCCACGGGGTCCCCGGGAATTAGTTGCAATTGTATGAAATTTTAAAAACCCAGAGTAGAGACGGAGACAAATCAACAAAGGTATTTGAATAGATGTTTTCATCACCACAAATTTAGACTGAGAGAATCAGGCCCCAATGGAGGCGGGAAATGTAGAAAGCTAATTATGGTTAATTAGGGAATTTTTTTTTCCCTGTTTGCATTTTAAGGAACGGCAAGAAAGGATATGAGCCAAAATTACCCGCTAGTGCTACTACGTTATCAAAACCCTATGTCTACTACGATTATCAAACCTGCTAGTGTTACTACGGTAATAAAACACATTGTTCTACTACTTATAAAAACCCGTAGTGTCTACTATGTTTTTCAACGCGCTAGTGTCACTACGATTATAAAACCCCTAGGCCATACGATTATCAAACCCCCCAGTTAGGGGGGTTGGGTAAGGTTCTCGGAAAAAACAGGACAAATGCTTCCTGAGGGGGTCTTGTCAGATATGACCCGCCTTTGGAGTTTTTGGCATCTACCGGGCCTTCCGCGGGTTTAAGGTCCCCCCCCTTTTAAAAATTATGGTCTTTTAAAACCCAGTCTAACCCGCTAGTGTTAAAAACAATTTTCAAACCGGCTAGTGTTATACGATGATGTGTCTTTTACTGTAAGTAATCTGACAAGGGAGAAAATACGAGCATCCCGGGCGCTAGTGTAAAAAGTATGCCCCCTTAGTGTTCCTTGTAAAACTAACTGCGGACCCAAAAAATAAAAGCTAAGGTGGAAACAAATTTTAAAATGAGGGTAATTTTAAGGGATACAAGGTTGCTGAATACAATGCGGGTAAGGGAAACTAAAGGGGAATGAAACCCAAATGAGAGGGAGTACTTTTAGAGAGGGGGAAAAAAGAAAAAATAATTACGAGAAGTAAAGGGAAGAAAAAAGGAAAAAGCCCAAGTACCCCTTGGGTTAAAAAAAAATGCCAATGAAGAAAAAAAAGGAAAAAACAAAGCAAAAGTAAAAGGAAAAATACAAAATGCAAAGCCCAAAACGGGAACAGAGAAGTAAGATTAGCAAAAAATATGCGGGACAGAAAAAAGAGGCATAACGAAAATGTAGAAGGGCATAGCAGCAAAGTTTGCAAAAATAAAAGCTTGCCAACATCAGAAATAAGATGACAGCAAAACACAAGGCAGAAAATTAAAGACGGATTGGAAAGCACGAGAAAAAGTAAAAATCTTCGAAGTGTTTTAAAAATTAATTGAAGAGTATCTCGTGGAACCCGCGCCCCCTAAGAAAGCTATCAAAAAGGGTATGCCGAAAGGCTCTGGACACTATCACACAAAAATAAGGCAAGAAAATTCGATAGCATTGAACGTTTAACCCCCTCAAGGCCAATCACAAACTTGAGGAAGGGCAAAGAAGACCGCAACGGAGTACAGTCTAGGGGCCCCCGAGATACAAACCTCATAAGGAAAAGATCTTGGGGTGGTAGAAACCGGGGAATATATAAGTCGCAGCTTAAAGGGGCCTGGTAACCTTGAACAACATTCCGACTCTTAATAAGAATCGTACAGGACCCCTTTCACTGTTACGTTGGCAAATTGGAATATGCAGCAAACCCCCTAAAAGGGAGTCCGACAGCCGGGCGTGGCTGTACGTTGGTTTTTCCCCCCCCCCCCCCCCCCCCCCCCCCCCCCCCCCCCCCCCCCCCCCCGGGTTTTGCCCCACCAGCAAACACAGGCTGGAAAATTAAAAGGTTTAACAAACCAGCCCGAGTAAGAGGGCCGGGGCTTTAGAAAATTTTCAGAACTAAAAAAGTTTGAAAACTAAAAAACGAAGGGAAAACAAGGGGAAAAAAGGGTTTAGGTTGCAACAACAAGGGGCCCGGAAATTAAGAGGATGAATACAGGGAAATTTAGGAAAAAGATTTTTTGACGACCGGAGGGCAGTTAAAGTAGGGGGGGATTTAAACTTAAAAAGACAGGTAAAGTTGGACGGAAGGTACCAGGGACAGAAAGGTGGGGGGCCCGGAAATTGAAAATCGATTTAACCCCAAATTTTGGGATAAAACCGGTCACAATTTTCAAAAACACAGATTTTCAACCCTTATCTTAAAGGGGCTATTAATTCTTAAAATACAAAAATAGACATTTTTAATAATTACAAAATTAATTTTAAAAAAATTTCTCCCCCTTTAACCCCACATTTTAAAAATTATTTTTTCAATTTTTTATTATTTGGGAGTTCTAAAAATTTTGTAAAAGATTTAAACAACAAAACATTTTTTGTAAAATTAATAGAAAGTTAATAAAAAAAAAATAATGACAACAAGAAAAAAATTTTTTGATTTAATACCATTAAAAAAAAGAAAAAGCAAGAAAATTTTTTAAACACAAAATCATAAAAAATTATTATTTCAAAAAATATATCCATTTATTATGGGGGTAACATGGGGGGGATGAAGTTTTCAGCGAGGGGAAGGCTGGGGGCGTGGAAAATGTCATGTCTGGGGGAATGTGTGGTGTAATATAAGCAGAGAATTTGTAGTTTGGAAGTTTGGGGAGGGCGGGATTTCCAAAAATGTTGTCCAGAGGGTGAGGAAGGGTGTTGGGTGGTTCGGGCTTGGGGGAAAATGGAGGAAAAGAATGACTTCAAGAGGTCAGTCGTAGTGGAGGAAGGGGGGAGGGGGCGGCCAGAAAGGTTTGGGTGGGGTGGGGGAAAAGGGGGTTTTGTGTGCGAGGGGCTTGGACTTCCGCAGGGATGCGTGAGCGTTTTTGATAGGAGTGAATGGGGGGAAAAAAGTGGTTTTTAATACTTGACGTGTGTTGGAGTGTGACCCAAATTTTAACTTTATGAAGGGGTTCGGGGAAAAAACCGGGCAGGCCGGACTTGAGCCCTGGAGAGGGGGAAGTAATGCCTGCACTCTGAAGGGGGGTTGTTAATTTTGAAAGGTTTAAAAAAACGTAGTGTAAAGCCCCCTTTTCTGGAAAGGGACGTGATGGAGTGAATGAGGGGTGAAAGTTTTTTTTTTTTGGGCCCCACCCCCCTTGGGGGAATCGGCCAGGTGATAAAAAAAAAAAATATGTGATTTTTATCTTCTTTTACTAAAAAGAAAGTTATAAAAATGCCCAAAAAAACATTTTTAGTGGAAGTGGACAGTAAATTTTGGGTTTGCTGATCAGTAACTGGGAAATTTTGGGGCACTTTTCCCTGGAGAAAACCCCCTGCCCTCCGGTTCCCCGGGGAAAAAACATGCCCCCACCGGGTTTACCCCCAACTCAAAAAAAAAAATATGAAAAAAAAATTTATATAATAGGAAGGGGACCAAAATAAATTTAAATTGGTGCTTAAATAAAAATTTTCTTAGTGTTATTTTAAATTTTAAGACAGATTTTATTTTCCCACCGGCAAAAAAAAAGGGAAAAAGTGAAAAAATTAGGGAATTAAGGGGAAAATATTTAAAATATATTGGGGGGAAGCGAAGCCAAAGACACCAAAAAGGAAAGTAATTTAAGGGGGGAGAGGTTTTCAAAAATATAGATAACAAATTACTTTACCGGCCCAAAGGGGGGGAGAGAAGAGAGAGAGAGAGGAGAGGGAGAGAGAGAGAAGAGAAGAGAGAGAAGAGAGAGGGGAGTGAGAGGGGGAGTGAGAGAGTGGAGTGAGGAGAGGGAGAAAAGAGGGGAAAAGAGGGAGAGAAAAGAGAGAGAGGGGGAGAGGGGAGAGAGGTGAGAGTGGAAAAGTGAGAAGAGAGAGAGAGAGAGAAAACGGAGGAGACGAGGGGAAAAGAGAGGAGAGAGGAGAGAGAGAGGAGAGAGTGAGAGTGGGGGGAGAGAGAGAAAAGAGAGGAGGAAAAGGGGAGAAAAGGAAGGAGAAGAAAAGAGAGAGAGAGAGGTGGAGTGGGGGGTGAGAGAGAGAGAGGGAGGAGAGTAGGAGAGAGAGAGAGAGAGGAGAGGGGACAGAGAGAGAGAGAAGAGAGAGGCAGACAGACAGATAGAACGGTTTCGCGCGCACCACACGCGCGCAAAACCCACAAAACACACACACACACACACACAAAACACACACACACAAAACACACAAACACACCCCAAAACCCCACCACCAAACTTGGAAGTTGAAGAAACAAAATTGGGTCAAAAGAAGGGTGTAGGAAGTATTTCTTTTAGTATAGGTTTTTAAGGGAGGGGAAAGGGCCTTTGAAAAAGACCCTTTGTGGAGGCAGGAACCATACACAGTTTTAAGACGAGGTTTGATAAAGCTCATGGAGCGGGGAGAGAGAGGGTCTAGTAGCAACCGGTGAAGAGGCGGGGCCAGGAGCTAGGACTCGACCCCTGCAACCACAAATAGGTGAGTACAAATAGGTGAGTACACACACACACACACACGTTTGTATATCTGGAGAAGTTAGTTGGTTAACTAGGTTTAAACCCCACCAAGTACATCACCATGTACACCACCAAGTACACCACCATGTACACCACCAAGTACACCAAGGACAACCCACTCCCGAAATAATAATTAAGTAAACTCTGGGTGCATACAGATGGAGAAATATATTGTATATATTCTTCATGACGCGTGATCACCACCAATCAATAATACTTTCATCCATAAAATAGGGATAAAAGTTAATGGTATATATATACACTAATATATATATCCATCTCTCGGAGTATATACTCCGTGACCGAAAGATACACCTTTCTCTATATATACAAATTGTATATATACACTATAAATACAAATTGTTTATGTTGGCAATATACTCGCCCGCACACATACAAGTACGGGTGATCTAACAAGCGGCTCGGGATAGTTACAGGTAATTATCGATCTCTGATTGGTCCCGCATGTTTTCCTCGACTTTTGATTGGCTCAGAAGTGTGAGGATGGGCAGCCCAGGGAAGGTCAGAAACACCTGACAAGAAAATTGCATCTTGAAGTAAGTTCTTGGTGTTCCTCCAGCAGTGTTAGTCGCGTGTGTCAGCGGCTCAGGCAGCGTTTAAGTGAACGTTGATATTTTGTGTACGTAAGTGTATATAAGTTTAAAATAAACTTTATAAGGCACACGTAATTATAGAACAGAGTTAACAGACTGTTATAATAGCATACGTTATATAAAATAGGGTTTTATAAGTATATAAATAGACTAGTCAACCCTTATATAACATGTAGTTCATATAAAACCTGCATTATAAAACGTTATAAAGCATCCTTAAGAAAACTAAAGTTTCAAAGTTACTTGCAAAAACTCTGTTCAAGTGACTCGTAAGACGATTAACGTTCATAACATGTGCTCGTCTGCACATACGTGTAAACATGCGGCATACGGAAACATACGGCAGGAACATAAAGGCAGAATTGATATATTGAAATGAGTGAAAAATCAGATGCCAAAGTGAAAGCTCTTCGAGTTTTAGTGCAGGAGTAACTACTACCTGGAGTTTACCTGGAGAGAGTTTCGGGGGTCAACGCCCCCCGCGGCCCGGTCTGTGACCAGGCCTCCTGGTGGATCAGCGCCTGATAAACCCAGCTGTTGCTGCTGGCTGCACGCAAACCAACGTACGAGCCACAGCCCGGCTGATCAGGAACTGACTTTAGGTGCTTGTCCAGTGCCAGCTTTGAAGACTGCCGGGGGTCTGTTGTAATCCCCTTATGTGTGCTGGGAGGCAGTGAACAGTCTCGGGCCCCTGCACTTATTGTATGGTCTCTTAACGTGCTAGTGACACCCCTGCTTTTCATTGGGGGGATGGTGCATCGTCTCCCAAAGTCTTTTGTTTTCGTAGTGAGTGATTTTCGTGTGCAAGTTCGGTACTAGTCCCTCTAGGATTTTCCAGGTGTAATAATCATGTATCTCTCCCTCCTGCGTTCCAGGGAATACAGGTTTAGAAACCTCAAGCGCTCCCAGTAATTGGGGGTGTTTTATCTCCGTTATGCGCGCCTTTGAAAGTTCTCTGTACATTTTCTAGGTCGGCAATTTCCCCTGCCTTGAAAGGTGCTGTTAGAGTGCCCGCAATTATTCCAGCCTAGATAAAAACAAGTGACCTGAAGAGTGTCATCATGGGCTTTGGGCCCCCCTAGTTTTGAAAGTTTCTCATTATCCATCCTGTCATTTTTCTAGCAGATGCGATTGATACAATGTTTTTGGTCCTTGAAGGTGAGACCTCCGACATAATCACTCCCCGGTCTTTGGACGTTGGTGTTCGCTCTATTTTGTGGCCAGAATTTGTTTTGTACTCTGATGAAGATTTAAAATTTCCCCCATGTTTACCAATCTGAGTAATTGAAATTTCTCATCGTTGAACTTCATATTGTTTTCTGCAGCCCACTGAAAGATTTGGTTTATGTCCGCCCGGAGCCTTGCAGTGTCTGCAATGGAAGACACTGTCATGCAGATTCGGGTGTCATCTGCAAAGGAAGACACGGTGCTGTGGCTGACTTTCCTTGTCTATGTCGGATAGAGGATGAGGAACAAGATGGAGCTAGTACTGTGCCTTGGGGGAACAGAGCTTTTAAACCGAAAGTTTCCCTCGGACTTTACTCTGTTGACGACTACTCTCTGTGTTCTGTTAGTGAGGAAATTATAGATCCATGGACCGACTTTTCCTGTTATTCCTTTAGCGCGCATTTTGTGCGCTATTACGCCATGGTCACACTTGTCAAGGCTTTTGCAAAGTCTGTATATATTACATCTGCATTCTTTTTGTCTTCTAGTGCATTTAGGACCTTGTCGTAGTGATCCAGTAGTTGAGACAGACAGGAGCGACCTGTTCTAAACCCATGTTGCCCTGGGTTGTGTAACTGACGTTCATACTGACGTTGTAACCTGAGAGTGAAGGTAAGACATGCTGTGCTATTTAAAAATGTTAGGATAGACAAGGTTTGTCAGGAAACAGGACGAGTGTTTTCTGTCGCTGGTCTTAGTCATGTGATGACCCGCAGCTGGAGCTTTTGGTCATATGACAGAGACTTTGCCCTGGCTTACCAGTCCACCCATATAAAAAATTATGATTAGGATTTATCAAACTTAGAACAAAAGACACCTGAGCAAACTCTAGAAACGTTTATTACAAAACGTTTCAGTCCTGAGACCGAAAAAAAACAGTATATATAGGCTGAGTGACTCACGGTGACCTGAAAACGAAATAACATATTTGAGAGGGTCAGGTAGATAATGGGGTCATGTGACTCATTTTTTAGGTAGATTGTGCTTTTTCAGGCTGAGTATCACGTACGCCATTATTTTTTTTTTAATTTTGTTGCTTCCAGCATTATATTTTACGGTGTCGGTGACGGCTCTTAGCAAGGCTTCTAGATATCATCAGTGTGTAAGATGTTCGCTGAGGACGAGTTGTAACTCACTTGTTTCCTTATTTGTTTTCGTTAAACCAATTTGTCGGTATCAATTACCAAGGCTAATACCATTCTGTATTGTGTGCTGATCACTGTCTGATGATCGTCTCCAGTGATGTTGATACCGAAAACCTGATTATTAAGAGAATTTCACTGTTGCTAAGACACACACACACTAAGACACTTGCTTTTTGAACAGTATATTAGATTTTTCTGGTGCAATCAGTGGATCCCAAGTTTTGTTTGTTCGTCAGAACATTGCACTATTTTGTTTTATTTTTTTACCGTTTGTAGTATTTTATAACTGGTTAATTTTTATTGACAAAGGCCAATCTGACCTAAATAAACCTAAAAGACATGGATAAACTAACTGCAACGCATGAGTAAATCTGTGATTAATTATGTGGGTAAATTCTATAGGCAGTGTCCTGTGAAGAAACTGGTATATCAAACAGTTTACACTTACTGATGTAGCTCAGAATCTAGTGGGATTTTAAGGTCACCAGGTCACAGTAATGTCTCCTTCGTGTCCACCTTCTCACTACATCATGTCTCACACGTCTAGATCTTAAATTATTATTAGCACCTATGGTTCTTAAAATTATTTAAAAATCTGTGCCATTCACATAGACAACTTATAAGGAGACTGTATATTGTAATATTTACCTGACCTGAGTAATTTGTTTGGATAATTTTGTATAAACACAAATCAATCACATGATTAGAAAAAAAGTATAACGGACATTCAAGATTACTCGCCAAATTATGATTCTGCTGTTATATTCTAACGACTCCCTTTCGGTAGGTGATTCATATTGGCCAATATAAATTAAGATACCTGTAGTGAAAATTAATGCCCTGGGAGGCGGACATTACATGTGAAGTCAACGTCAGTTTCTGACGACATTGTTTCTGTTACACCTTACTTAATTTCATTTGAAGATTCGGCCGATTTCCAATTCCTTGAGAGAGCCAACACCGCCACCTCATGACGGCCACGCCCCTCATAGAAGGTTCCTTGACGCTGGTAAGGAGCTCTTGATCTGGGAAACTGGATCTGAGCTCCAGTTCCCTGAATTAATCCTGAATACCTTCCACATCTCTCCCCCCACATCTCTCCCCCCCCCTCACAGGTGCTATATAATCTGACGGGTTTAGCGCTTCCCCTTTATTATTATCATCATAATAATCACGATGGCCACTCGGGCAGTACTTACCCTATGTTCACCCCCCTCCCCCCAATCATTTGGAAGTACCCACTCACTTCCTCGCATGTTGGTAGTTTGCGTCTACCAGTAATACCTCATATTGACATTCATACTTCACATTTGCATTACACTAACACTTAACAAACACATTACTAATTATAGGAAAATTATAACAAATTTTCCACAAAACTCTTTTGCGAGACTGGGTTAATTATGCCGTCTGCTAGGTGGGGTTTCAGTTTTCTGTTCACTCTTTTTAAGTGTTTATCCCCTATACGTATTGTCACATTTATTAGCGTTATAACTGGAAAATATACCCTTATACACAGCGATCTAACCTAACTAAATCTAAATGAACCAACCTAAAGTATGTTTGTGTGTTGACGACCGTGTTAGAAGTAGCATGGGTTGACGACCTTGTTAGAAGTAGCACGGGATGATGACCTTGTTAGAAGTAATGTGTGTTGACGACCTTGTTAGAAGTAACGTGTGTTCACTACCATGACGGCATTATTATTAAAATGACAGTGCTAATCCTGCGTGGGAGAGGAGACCATCGGAATAGATCCAAGGAATGCTATTTATCCAGTTCCTTGGACCAAAAGTCCTCGCCGACTACAGGTGCCTCCCTTTAAATGTTACCTTATCAGATTTTTTTTGATTATTTTATTAAAACTTTATAATTTTCTTAAACCTTTTGGAAAAATTTTGTGTTGGTCCAAGTTTTTTCTCCTACAGTTTGAAAGTTGTTTGACTACATCCCCAGCATAATTTTGTATTGAGTACCTTGACAAAGTCTTTTGTTGACTACTTGCCCTATATTTTCTACTAAGCAGAAAACTTATAATCCCTGAATTGTTTCTCCTAAGAAAATCTGATTTTTCATAGGTTTAGAATCACGAGGCTAGGAAAAAAATTTTAAATTTTTAATTAACATTGTTCCCTGAATATATTTTGATAAAATTATAATTAATGCAAAATTTGGTATTAAAATTGTTAATTTTATAAGGGGATTAAACCCCGTGCCTGAAGGAACGGGTTTAGGTGCTCAGGCTTAAAAACCAATTTATATTATAAAAGGCTTTCCCTTTATTCCCTTTTTTAAAAACTGGGGAAATTCTTAAAATAATTTACGGGGAATTTTTCAAGAAAAGTTTTCAACACTAGCGAGATTCGTGATAAATTAATGTGTCCCTTAGAAAAAGGTCACACACCAGGATTTTATTGTTATTGTTTTTGACTGTACACAGCTTAGTCCCAAGGGTTTTTTCCATTGTGTGCCATCAGGGAAAAAAAATAGTTTTCCCCAGTATTAACAATAAAATGTGGCGACTTTCCTCAAAACTGTACTCGAGATGGAGTGTATCTCGCACTCCCAACTACTGTAATATGACATTTTTCGGGAAAGGGAAGAGCGGTATGTTTATTTACATTAGTAGACACATGTTGAAGATAACCAAAACC